CAAATGAGCGACGGACCACATTCCCCATCATGGAGCTCCCAGATCAAGAAGCCAATCTGGACGGCTTGGTCTTGAATGTGTTCTAGGAACTCAGGCGTGCAGGAGCCGGCAGCGGAGCTTGCTTTGACTTGGACATCGCACTCCCTCCTTTGCAATGTCTTCGATTCCGGCCAAGCTTTGCTCTCCATTGTCACTGAGAGGTAGATCGGTACTGGACACTGTCCCTGGAGATCTGAATTGACTGAGTCAACCATTTTTCGACCGAAAGCTAGTTTAGTCGTACTTGCCTGCTTGTTAGGTGGGCTCACAGCCGTTGTTTCACGTTGTGTCTTATTGCATTGCATGTTTATGTCGAGACAAGACTATTCTGATTGTGTTGTTTGCTTTGCTGCTGTTTTTAGCTTATCTGCTGGCAATCCCTCTGCGGAGATGCGAGTCGAAGGGGCGAGAAGCGAAGTGTTAATGTTAGTAATTTCCTAAAGTTAACCTGTTTAACTGCAGCTACTGTTCTTGGGCTCAAAACGCCGAATGGAACCAGCAGTCGCCGAGTAGAAATGTGTCACTTGACCCCAAAGTTGGGCAGTTGCATCTGCGCTTCTCAGAAGCGTTTCGGTCTACGTGTGCGGCGAAGACAAAGACCGGGAGGCAGTTGCATGTGGTCTGTTGAGCTGTGGGTGGGTATCTGCTACGGAGACTTTCCGAGACTTCGGCATGCCATTGGCTGATGATCAGTACAATATCACGAAATGACACATGTGGTGCAAGTTCCCGAGCCTAACAGGCCTGCATGCGACTTTATCTCATCCAGAGTCTAGCTAGAGTCTAGTGTGCACGACTGCCAACGGCCTTCGCCTTTGTATGGGGATGGATTGGAGTATCTCAGATATCTCACGAAGGAATATGGCCTTATGAGCACGCCGGCCATGGCATTCCGTGCCCAGTGAGTCGATAGTGCCCGGCCTCCTATATGAGCTTCTTGTCTCCGTTTGGTGATGCTGCGATGGCAGTGCGATCTAGAGGGATAGAACTTCTGCGGCACTGAGGCTACGATGAGGCATCCGTGAAGTTGTGCTCTCAATTGCTTCTACCGTGACTGCATCAGTGCTATCGACGTCCCGTTTCTATTTATACGAACAGGGCATGAGCAACGCCCGCTTTCTTCACGGAGCATGCTGGAAGGTGGAAGCAGCGCAAGAAGACATGCAGACCGTTCTCGAGCCCGCAGATCAACTCCAACAGGCAGCTTCTACCTTGGACCAGTTTGACGCCCTTTAGCATTTCCAGACATGCATGTGCTTACTTCTGTAGCCGCGTCTGGCCCACGTTGGTAGGTCAATTGTGCTGCAGATGTGATGTAGAATCCGAAGCGGTCGCCACTTTCCCGCTGCACCTGAAGTTGACAAGTTGACGGAACAACAGCATTGACAGCCCCGCGAGGGATGACAATGTACCCTGAATTGGCCGATCCATCCTGTCGATGCCATGACGGTGCGCGGCAGAGTCATGCAGGAACTCGGCCCTACAACAGCCCTCAGTGGCCCTTGCGAAGCCTCATGTGATCGGGCATTTGGACGTAAGGATGTGGATCCTGATGATATTGAAGCCCGCCCACCGGAAGAGGCCCATAAAGCAATCTTTACACACATTCTCTCGAGGTTTGGCGCAGTTTTCACGCTTGCTTGATGACACACCCAGTTGTGATTGCAAGCCCGTGCGACATAGGCCCATCGCAACTCGCACATACTCTTTCGATGGTCATTCTTATAATTGTTTAGGGCTTTCTCCCGCCCGGGGGCAGGGGGAGGTCCTCTTGAAGGAATGGGCTGTGCAGCAGGTCCAAAGCAAAGCTCTTCCTAGTAAGAAGACCGCTGATTTTTTAGGAAGCGGAGCATCGGAGCACGCAGACTTGCTCACGGTGCGAAAGGGCAGGAAAAGCATGCAGCAATGGCCTCTGTACAGCGTGGCCCGCCTCTTGGTGACCTTTTTTCCCTTCCGTTCCCTTCTTTTGGAATCCCTCCCATTATATATCTAATCTATTCCTACAGCAACCAACGGCTACGCGAACGGCTTGCCCGACTTTCGACCTCGTTTATCGCGTGCTTGCTACGCATTCGGCTTCTGTTTTAACATGTTGTGCCATGCCAAGCCTTCGTGCGTTTGTAAGGTTCCAGTTCTAGGTAGCATTGTCGATGTCTCGATGCCTGCAGCCTTTATCCGTTAGTTCCGTTAGTTCTCTTCTTCCGCATATTTAGCCTGTTTGGTTCGTCGCCTGTTCAAACTATCTACAGAGTGTGAAGTCCTTGGCATACATTTCCTTGCCCCGTCGACACATCCAATCCAGTGCCTTTCTGTGGCTTCTCCCCTGCATACTCTCGCCGCTTCTAGAGAACATCAAATTGGCGCTTGGGATATAAATGACGATCGTTTGGTGCGCGTCTTTCCGAAAGACCAATGCGCTCGCCTAGACTGGGCCTAGACAGTCTTTACAGCTGTGGGTCCTTTTGCATGCTCCCGGCCACGCGTCCCCAAGCTCTCCATCGGCAGATCGCCTCGGCCGCACAACCAGACCTCAGCCCGTGCCCCTGCAACATATCCGAGGTCTCCTCATAGAAGGCAATAGGAAGAGATAGAACCCCGAGCCTGCGAGATGGAGAGAGAGGCAGAAGCAGAGCCATCCTTTTGCCCGCTTGGTGGGGCGTGCTTATCGACTAGACAAGCTTGGCACAAGGAGGCGGAAGAGCGCCCACGGTGGAAGAGATGAGAAACTGCGGCGTAAGTTGTTCAGGAGTCGAATGACAGAGGGCCACGGGACCACAGAAACAAACCACAATCCCACAACGTATTAATTGTCCCCATTTCTATTTACATGATCTGCTTTTACTACGTGAGCTTCTCAGGTCCTCGGCAAACTGACTCTCTCTCTCTCTCTCTCTCGCTCTCTCCCCTCTCGCTCTCTCTAAACGGCAACCAACTTCCCGCTAGTTCCACAAAGCTTAGGGCCTAGGGTCGACGGTTCAGGGTTTTAGGCTGAGTCCACTGCTGCATCCTTTGAAGTTGTGCCCGATGAGTGGCATTGCAGATTTCAAGGTTTGCTCTGAGCCCTCGTTAGGTTCCCAGCAGAGGCTCTTGCAGGCTGGATGCAAAAGGGCTGAGGGAAACTCGTCGTTGTGTCTGCGCCACATCCAGCCTGCCTGTTTCAAACTCTCCAGTCGATGTCATGACCTCCGGTCTCCATTTCGGACGCTTACGGGTCTGCATCTGCGCAAGCTCCCACAAGACTGCCAAAATCCAACTCCGTCGCTGAGACAGTGAGGGTTCAGAGGTGAAGAAGTTGGCTACCCTGCCCCAGGTTTCAGGCAGTTTCCGGCCTAGGCCACTGCTAAACACATATTATGTTATATTCTTTATATTATACCGTATTATGGTATAGTATATTATATAGTACATTATAGTATATTATAGTACGTTAGTCTTTTTTATAGTATTTCGGAGGCCCAGGAGGCCAAGTGGCACTTCCAGACGGGCGACGGCCTCGTCAAAGGTCTCCGGCAGTCTTGACCGTGTGCTGGGTTAGGGTTTAGGGTTCTTTGAGCAAGGCGAGCATATGGGGAAGTGGAGCGGCTTCGATGAAAGAGGCGTTCCCCACTTGAACGCAAAGGCCTGGTGCTTTTGCAGTACTGTGGTACTCGAGGGAGGTCGGCATCGCCTGTCCAAGGGCAAGAAGCTCACCAAGCAGGAGAAGGCAGCTTCAGCTTATCGTCAAGCGCAGCGACTGCTTTTCAGAATTTCAACATTCCTGAAGTAAGGGCTTGTTATTACCAGATTTGGCTCGATTATAGGGTTCTTTGACATGGCAGGAGCTGGTGGAAACAGAGTACCTCGAAGCCAAGAAGGCCTACCAGCAACAGCTCAAGGCCGGCAAGAGCTGCCCCTTGAATGCGGCCTCCTTCAAAGACTAGCTATCCATCTATTTATCTATCTATCTATCTATATCTATGTCTATATCTATGTATGTATGTATATATATGTATTATATCTATATACCTGTATATATGTATATGGTCAGGCGCTCCGCGGCCCCCCCCCCTCCCCCCCCATGGTCCATGGTCCAGGTTCCCCCACCTCCCCTGTCAACCCCCCCATGACAGACCAACCCCTTTAAATCCCCGCTCCCACCAGCGATTCCGGCCTTTTTCGTGGGTTCGGGATTCAAGCAATTATCGCTTCAGAAAAATTAGGTAATTCAGATTGATTCAGTGTTTGTGCGTACTTATGCCGGTAAGTTCAGCCGGGAGTACTAAGCCTCACGCATGAGTAACAACTGAAACAGATCTCACAGAAGTATCAACCATCAACATACATGTAGACAAACCACATGGCATATGGTTGTTTGTACAGTTTGGTGCTTCCGTGATTCCCAATCTTTTCGAACCGATTTTAGTCCGATTTTGTATCTAAGTGAGTAGTGGTTATGTCTAATCAGCTGTTGTTATCGCTTTTACACAGCGACACTTTTATTGAGCTTCCACGTTTTTACGCCAGTTGTTTTGCATTCTTGTACTTGTAGCATGAACTTAACATTGGTCCATTTACAGAAATCGATATGTTATGTATTGATCTTACGAAGTGCGTAACTCAAGCCAGCATGTTGGATTGGCCGTTTTTGTCGGCAGGCTGCTTTAAGTGTGCAGGCGTGACTTAGCAATTTTCGCTAGTTCGAGTTTTCCCATAGTGAAGGCTTCAATCGTAGACAAAGAGGAAAGCTCCGCGTTGAATAACTGACTAAAATAATCAGCGAACTGGTCTTCCCATAGTAACATCTTCACGCAGAGATTACTGATTCCTTAACATCTATGTTGGTACAGGACAAAAGGGAGAGTTTCATCCATAAATGTTTGGCCGTCATCTCGCATAAAGACTTGCCAGATGGATGGTTGGATTCTCCATCGAGGTTTATTATTGCAAGCTGCGGGTCTACAACAAACCGAGGCTGAATACACTATTCAGACAACGGTAGGCTCGAGATGTAAATTGAAATTTTCTACCCAATGAGAGTGCCCTAAAGCTTCTTTGAATTCAGCCACATCTATAGTTTCGCTGCGATGGTTTGTCCCCTGGGGGCGGGGTGGGCGCATATATGTATATATGTATATGTAATATGTATACATATATACATGTATTTATATTTATGTCTGTAGCAACCAGTGTATGTATATATATATATTTATTTATTTATTTATATATTTATATAGATATATATATATATAAGTGTATGTATGTCTATCCATTTATCTATCTATCTATCTATCTATCTATATATATATATAGATAGATAGATATATATATATATATACACAGAGTGTTACTCGAATCTACTGCACGAAGCTGGACTAGACAAAACTAGAACAATGCAGGCTCGACCCCACTCGTCTGCACAAGGCAAAAGAGCAATGGGAAAGAGCACTGGAGGATGCAGAGCAAGCATTGCGCGACAAAGATCGAGTTCGATGGGCTTACAGGCACGGGCAGTCTGGCATGAAAAGTACCAGTAGCAAGCGCAGCAGCTCTGCGTACTCGCACGAACAGTTCTTATGATGACCGTTCATCGGCGTGACGAGCCTCGTGATGGCAATAGCAGTCGTGTCGCCATAAACACTATTGAGAGTAAACATGCCCCCACATCAAGCAATTGCAAACGTCGCGGACGACAAAGCGACCCAACCCTTAAGCGCCTGCGGTGCCAAACTTCTTCGTTCCAGGAGGGGTTGGTATATGGGAGTTCAGAGAAATGAGGGACCCTCACATTGCACCAGCTTCTCATAACGTGTGGTTGACTGGAGATAACATCACATTATGTCGTCGAGCAAGCTTAAACATAGGTCTCGCCTCCAGCCGGCTATGTACCAGGAACCTCGCCTGGCATGGCCGAGAGTGAGCGCCGAATATAGAGCCTTGAATAAATGCATCCTTAGTGGAAGGACCCCTAGATTTAATGTGCTTTTACTATTCAGATCTGTTTCTGTGAACACATACAGATATGGGCACCTGCTTTCATGGATACGTCCATTCATACACACATACGTGCCTACACATATTCATGTCTACATACATGTACACACACACGCATATATATGTAGACATATACACATGCATGTATGTAGACTACTTATTGTTCTTATTGTTGCCCTTTTAACCAGCAATATGAGAGCCTCCCTACCTCGAGCTCGGCCTTCGACCTTATCATACTTTGTAGCTCCGACCAATTCTCTGCGGTGTACTGGTAGTGTAGCAATAAAGTCAGCACTACATTTGGCCCCATTTGCCACAGGGCAGCAGGCCCAAGCAGACACGCCCTCCTGCACATTGAGGATCTGGAGGAGCTGCGACGGTCGTAGAGCGACAGCCCGGCGATGCTGTAGTTGAACACGATGTGCTGCAGGACTTTGTGAAGAAGATGGGCTGGGAAGCTCTCAGACACAAAGACATGGAAACACTTCAGTCTGTGGCTGCGAGACGGGGAGCCGACGGGCGCTCAGCTTCCGGAGATCATTGCAGTTGAGATGCGCTGTCCATAGCCTCATCTTGGCTAGGGCCAGAATGCAGCTGCTTCGAAGGATGCGGAAGAACTTCTTCTCGAGGATGTGCGGCAGTTCATCAGCGAGGAGATGGCATCTAAGTTTCTGGACAACCGGCTGGACTATTTCTTCAGAGCCTTCGTCTGAAAATTGGCACACAGCCACAGCGCGCTATCCAGTCATAGCAGGGGCGAAGCCAAGGCACAAAGACCCTTGAAGACGTCCATTCCCCACGCACATGGCGTCGGAAACTGGACCAGGATATGTTGGCCCAGGCTGGCTTCCGTGCTCCGGGGTGGAGCTCTGCCTGCCGATTTGGGATCACCTGTAAGTGCACGCTATCAGCCACCTGGGTCATGCTGCAGGTGGCTGAGCAGCAATCAAACTCCAGCGGCTCAGGTGAGACCGAATCTGACACTTGAAAGCTCTCGAGCTGTCCCAAAGCTTCGTTCTAAGACAGAACTACACGGGACGTTCGGGAAGCAGCTGCCTCCAGCGACAGCTGTTTGTACATATGGCCCACAGCTGATGTCGACTAGATAAAAGCTGCTGCGTGGGCCTTTGCTGCCAAGTGCCGGAAGATTTCGCGCAATTTCACGAGACGAGTTTGGGCTATAAAGTTCTGCTAGAGCGACCGAGGTCCTCGATCCGTATGGTGGCATCTTACCATACGAGGCCACTGCCAGTAAACCTCACTGGGCCCTCCGGTCTAAGACCTGAGTCCTTTTTAAAGGACACGGAGAGCACGAAGTGGTATGGTGCTGTCGAGGCACGTTCGAGCCGCGTGTTTTGACACGTCTCCGCTGCATGTTCTGGCCAGAGCTGAGAAAAAGAGGACACCAATACCCTCATCAAGGAGGAACTCACCCCTGTTACTTGCACCAAGAAGCACTGTAATCTTGCTAGTCTTGCCTGCACACTTTGGCATCTTCTTTGCTTCGGCTGAAGACGTGCCGAAGCAGCTTCCAAGGAAAGTTTCGATGGATTTCAATGGAGTCTTGCCTTCGTTCTGAAAGGCAAGCACGTTTCGGGCGTGTTCAAGCACCTGCCAGTGCGCCTAGCCGAGGATCCCCGCCACACAATGCGAGGCCAGGAATGTCAATCGAAGTTTGCTTGCGAAATGTATGAGGACTGGCATGTGCAGTTTCGGCTTGCGTGCACTTGCTTCGTAAAGGAAGCCTCAGAGCATCAATCCGGAACAAGCAAACGTTACGGTCATACCCTCACTCGTGCGCTCTTGTGCTTGAGGTCACATGGGATGTATTGCAAGTGCCGGAGAGATCGGATCCGAAGAAAGTGCTGGTCTGGGCCAAGGTAGGAGAGGACGGAAGGATTTGGGGTCGGGTATAGATTCTCGTTGGCAACTCCGTTGCAACACCCAGGCATGCATAGATTGTCCAAGAGCAGGAGCAGAGCCAGGGATTTGGCAACGACCTGATTCTTTGGGAGGCTCTGCAAAATGACAAGGATTCGTAATCTCTTTCAGGTGATCTCCCTGTTGCATCTGCGGCAGGCTCCAGACAAGGAGGGGCTGATAGCATCCTGGAGGGAGATGCAAAGTTTCGCCAAAGGCGAGAAAAACAAGGCCTTGCCACAGTGCGGAAATTTGGAGGGTGTGGCATGGGTTATCAAATCTAAACTTGCCAGTCACACTCTTGATTCGCTCCTCGTGACCAAACCGGCGTCCTGATGCTGCTTGTACTTCTGGCACTGCAGCACCCTGTACTCCAAGAAGACCACCACGAGCCTTCTTTTGGCTCTGTGGATCTTTGTGGACGCTTGAAGCGCAGAATGCAGGGGTCATTGAGAGATCGATTGAGTTTTTGGAAGGCTTTTCCGAGTTGAAAGCAAAGAAGCAGATGAGGTAAGACGGTCTCGCAAAACTTTGAAGATTGCCCCCCAACAGAGTAAGGTTGTGCTGCCTTTGGAAAGTTTGCAAAGATCAACAAGCTAGTTAGAGGATTGTTGGCTCGATCGTCTCCGTTTTGAAGATGTGGGATTGCAATGTGGTGCAATGACTCACACGTTCTTGCGCCAGGCACCGGTGAAAGCATCAGCGACCCAGCCACCAGCCGAGGTTCTGGGAAAGGCGTCGTATGTTTGCAAATCATACCCAAAAGCCCATGCCCAAAAGCAATTGCTACAGTATCGGCCTTAGTCGTTCTACACTTGTATGTAGAGGAGACCAGAGAGAGGATCGACAGCATGCCAAAGCAAGGGAGCCGAGACACGCGTTTGAAGACGATCGGCCAATGTATCACACACAACTGCCCAATCACTTGGACGACTTCGGGCTGCAGTGACATTGTGTCAGATGTTACTGGTCGTATACTATAGAGCATGGCGTGATATAGGACATTATAGTATAGTATATCATACGATTTCAGCCGATGGCTTTGCGACTCACAATGCCTGCACCAGGCAGAGGTGAAAGCGTCAGCGACCCAGGGCCTACAGCCAGCAGCCGAGGTTCTGGCTGAGGGAGAGTGTTTGGCAACCGGCGTTCCGATCATCGCGAGTGGAATCGTGAAACTATGTTAAGGCCTCCCGCACCTCCTCCTGCACCTCCTCCCGCACCTCCAGCTCCTCTGGACGAGCCCGGGCAAGCAGCAGTGTCAGAGCTGCGGGCGAAAGCAAAGCCCATTGAGCCAAAGAAGCCTTCAGTCGCTCGGCTAGGTTAGCACGGCTCTTTGGCTGCTCATTCTGCTGCAGCCTTCGCAGAGGTGAGCTACCAGCGACCGCTCAAGCAACCGGCCTCGAAAGAAGCCGCCTCAGCCATGACTCGATGACTCGAGTTACACACAGAGACGAACTATATCTTAGTATGAAATGTGTCATATACACATACACACACATAGAGAGAGAGGGAGAGGGGAAGTTAGGGGGGAACTTCCCCTGCCCACAACCCTGCCGAAAGAAAGAGATTATGCATCGTGTATTTTGTATTTCACGCTGCACTAGTACCGTATATCTTACATTTTAATATGAATAATATATATAGATAGATAGATAGATAGATAGATAGATACATACATACATGTATGATATGTATATGCTTAAACATATATATATTTTTTTTATTTTTATATTTATATTTATATTTATATTTATATTTATATTTATAATTATATTTATGTTTGTAGTTATATTTATACTTATACATATATATATATGTGTGTGTATATATATATATATATATTATCTGTGACACATGAATCTTTATATTTCGTACAATGGGAATCTGATATCTCATGTTATGTGTGCATGTTGCATCATCTTTACGATACATCATGCGGAAGGGAGTCACTTGTGTCTTTTTTTGGTGTACCTTGTGTCGCTTTTTCTTGGGTCGCTTGTGTCATTTTTAAGGTTCCCAAGCAACAGTCTCGAACGGGAGGCCCTTAGGTGGGACCTGAAAGAGGAAACCCTCGGCCCTCTCAAGTCGACGCCTCCAGATTGCAATCGGAGTCCCCTAGTACACGTAGCAGACAGGGGGTATTTGAAGAGCACGGCCTCTGTATGTGTCAGTCTTGCGAACCCGGACACAAACCTTAAAATAAGAAGGCCCTATCCCTGAAAGGAGTAAACCCAGGCCGAAGCCCTAGAAAGGGTAAGCGCAGACAGAGACAGAAACCCAAATGAGAGAATGCCCAAGCCCTGAAGGAGAAAACGGCTCCCGAAACCTTAAAAGAAGCAAAAGGTAAGCGTGAGAGAAGCCCGAAAATTTAGAAAGCGTAAACCCTGGCCGAAGCTTTGAAAGGAATAAACCCAGACCGAAACGCTAAGGAAAGCAGGCCCAAACCCTAAAAGGCGAAAGAATGAAAAGGTATGCGTGAGCGAGTGTGTGAGTCGAAACGGAGTAAAGCGACCCCGAAACCTTAGAAGAAGTAACAGGTAAGCTTTACCGAAACCTTGAAAAGAGTGAACACAGGCCGAAGCTCTAAAAGGAGTAAACCCAGACCGAAACCTTAGTAAAAGACAACAGGAGTAAACCCAGGCCGTAAACGGACCCCGAAACTCTAAAAGGAGTAAACCCAGGCCGAACCCCAAAAAGGAGTGTCCCCAGACCGAAACCCTAATGAAAGAAAGTCGAAAAATTAAAAGGACCAAACCCAGATCTAAACCCTAAAATAAGAAGGCCCAATCCCTGAAAGGAGTAAACGGACCCCGAAACCCTAAAAGCAGTTTTTAAAGCAAGAAGGTGCGATCCCCAAAAGGACCCGACGGACCCCGAACCGTAAAGTAGGTAAACCCAGGCCGGAGCCCCAGAAGGCGTAGTCCCAGACCGAAACCCTAAAATATGAAGGCCCGATCCCTGAAAGGAGTAAACGGACCTTAAAATAAGAAGGCCCAATCCCGGAAAGGAGGAAACGGGCCCCGAAACCCGAAAAGGAGCAAACCCATGCCGAATCCGTAAAACGAGTAAACCCAGACCGAAACCGTAATGAAAGAAGACCCAATTCATGAAAGGAGTAAACGGACCCCGACACCCTAAAACAAGTAAACCCAGGCCGGAGCCCTAAACGGAGTAAATTCAAACCGAAACCCAAAAGCAAGAAGGCCCAATCCCTGAAAGGAGTAAACCCAGACCGAAACCGCAATGAAAGAAGGCCCAATCCCGGAAAGGAGTAAACGGACCCCGAAACCCGAAAAGGACGAAACCCAGGCCGAAGCCCTAAACGGAGTAAACCCAGACCGAAACTCTAATGAAAGAGGGCCCACGTCGAAACCCTAAAACTTAGACGGGGCAATCCGACCCCGAAACCTTAAAAGAAATGAAAGGTAAGCTTGCATGAAAGCCGAAGCCCTAAAAGGAGTAAACCCAATCTGAAAAGCAGTACACCCTGGCCGAAGCCCTAAAAAGAGTAAACCCAGACCGAAACCCTACCGACCTAGACCCTAAACCCTGGAAGCCTTTTTGCCAGCCGTGGACGGCTAGCAAAAAAGGGTTTTCGCTCGAGAGTGTTGTCTCGTAAGGAGTAAAAAGACACAAGTGCAAGAAAAAAAGACACGAGTGCCCCAAAAAAGACACAAGTGATAAGGCACCCCATCATAGTTGTTCATGTTTTTAGTGTGATGTATTTCTGTGTGTGAATATGTAATATTATACAGTGTTTACAGTATAGAACATGTATCCATGTGAATGTGTGTCTGTGTGTTTATAGGATGTACTGTATATCATGCATGTTGCAGCTTCGCTGAGTTCCAAGACCAGGCTCTCGCAAAGAGTTCTGGCTTCGCGCTGCCTCCACGACCTCCAAGACCGAAAGCATCGAATGTGCCCAGAGCCTTTCAGGCGAAAGGTGCCGCGGAGGCGGGGAGAGTTAGCCCAGTGGCGGAAGAAGCTGCGACTCCGTGCGAGGAGCTATCTTACGGCCCTGCGGTGATTGAGGCGCGATGTGTCCTCCCCCCCTGGCAAGAAAGCAGCGAAACTTGAAAAGGAAGTGCCCCTGGAAGGCAAGTTTGACAGGAAACCGTGTTGAAAAAGAGCTCCACGACGATTCCGTTATCAGCATGCAAAAAAGGCAGCGGAACTGGATCTGAGTTTCTAGATGGCAGGCTGCGCAGACGGCCAGACCGATGGCTGCTGGAAAGGCGGGTTAGTAGTAGTATTCCCTTATTTTCCCCATGTAGCTATATACATATATACATATAGAATATTGTAAGATGTCTTTGGTGGATGGAAGCATGGAGTATCCGCGCCTAGGCATGGGGCGGTGCCTTGGCGGCAACCGGGGTTCCTTGGCCTTCTTATGGACCGCAATCAACCCGAAGGAGTCAAGCGGAGCACGGCAATGCCGACGAGAGGGAGCAAGGCCAGAACTTGCACTCAGGTTTGATGCCACCCGAAGACCCGATAGCCCTCCACTGGCTCGCTGCTATCCAGGACAAGAGAACGCGATAGCAAGCGATGCTTTCGTGTAAAAAGTTCGCTCGGTGCAGATCCGAACATTTCTGCCTGCAGAACGGCTGGCTCTGGTGTGCTTCACACACATCGTTCCTGTCGCTTCGTCTGCGAATGCCTGCACGTCCATTCATTCAATGAGTAAGACCGTTGACGAGTCAGCCGGACAGGCCCCCGCTGCGTCTGGCTCACAGCATCAGAAGCTTGATGACTGGGCCACTGGCGGAATGATGTTTTCTGGCTGCAGACCCTTGGCCGCAACGGGGAGCGAGGAGATGGTTTGCCATAGGTTTCGTGTAGCACTCCCCAAAACCCTAAACCCAGAACCCTAAACTGAGACTCGTACGGCCATTTTGGCTCAAGCTACGGCCATTTTGGCTCAAGGGCTCAACCTACGGCTCAAGACTGGTTGCGAGCTCTGCTTTCTCGTGGTGCTGTCCGTGGGACTCAATACCCCTAGGACCCCTTGGCCCGGGTTTCTCTGGGGGCTCTTGACATGTCTGGTGGCGTCGATCGAGGTGGCGATGCAGTGATGGATGAGGAAACCCAGCTTTTGGGAGAGGAAGGTGATGAGGGTGATGGTGACGACGAAAGTCCCCTTGCCTCCGCTGGACCTCCACGGCCCGGAACTGGAACATCCCCCGCCCCAGCCCGAAACCCCCGAAGTTCCGAGGGATTAGCAGGCAGGCTTCAGAAGGATGACGAGATGGCCAGACGAGAAGCACTCCAGGACGCCGCTAGTGCTGCAGAGGCCCTTAAGGCTGCGAAGGGGAAGTTAGAAGTGATTCCTGTGCCAGCCC